CACCGCGCTCGCACTCGGGTCCCCGCCGGGAGGGATTCGGGCCAGAGCGCGAAGGGATGGTCCGCCCTCGAGGCCCTTTCCACGAACCCGCACTCCAGCCCCGACCCGGCAGAGAACGCCTCCCAGGGGCCACCATCGAGGCCGACCGGAGATCACCGGTATCTGAACAACCAACTCACCTACCACCCCAGCCTGACAAAGGCTACGAACTTCTTGGGCCGGCTCGGAGTCGCGCATGCGTGAGAAGGAGCGGACGCTGGGGGGCCGGCCTCATTCCGCTCGGAACTACGATTCCCAGAAGCCTCTGGGCGTCTCCAGGCGCAGTTTACCAGCAGGTGGGAGCTCGCGTGACGCCATCAGGAGAACTGGAGGACCGGCAAGAGGACCTCGCGAGATTACGAGGCACATTCTTATGTCTAACCCCCGAGAGTAGCGGGGCTGGAATATAGCACTCTCGGAGACTGTCTGTGCTGGTCTTTGAGCTTTGTCTGCGCTAGTGCCTTCGGGATGGTGCTGAAATCACTCTGATGTACGAATATTCTCAACTCAGTTTCTCACTATTTATCACCAAATCCTATTTATTATATTTCTTACCTCTCCAATTTTTTCATCTCTCTATTCCCCCTTAGTTCAGGCCACCACCACTAGGATTACAGTCACAGCCTCCTAATTGGATTCCCTAACTCAGGTTTTCTCTCCCACCAGTCTGTTTCTGACCATGATCACTGTAAAGCAAAAAAAAAAAAAAAAAGTGACATTACTGCTTAAAATACCTTTCAGTGGCTTTTAAAAGCTTCAGGAAAGAATGATTTCCAGTTCCCATGAATAGACTTGTGACTCCCGTTATCCAAACCTCCTGATTGTCATTCCCTTTGCAATCCTCTCCTCTTGAGATGGGTAGGACTGTGATTAAGCAATACACTAGTAGAGAGGTGACGTGAGAGTCTAGTGTTTGTCTTGCTAGCAGAATTCTCTCTTGCTGGCTTTGATGAAGTAGTGGTGATGCTGAGGAGGCCCATACGACAGGATAGCCTTCAGACAACAGCCAGGAAGAACCTAAGGCCCTCGGCCCCACAGTCTGTAGGGGTGTGAACTCTTTCTACAGCCCAGTGTGCTTAGAAGTGAATCATCCTTGTAGAGTTTTTCCATGAGAACCCTGTCCTGCCTGATACTTTGGTAACAGGCTGCAGTGGACCCAGTTGTGCCCAGACCCTTAACCACGGAAACCATTAGATAATAACCAAAACTATTAGATAATCATCGTGTGTTTTTGAGCCACTAAGTATGTGGTAATATTGTTATGCAGAAAAAGGTAACTAATACAGCATTCTAGCATAAAAGGCTATCTTTTTCCCTAAAGCCAATCTGGAGATTTTCTGGAAGTGAGAGAGGTTATTGGATTGAGAAAATATTGGAAAATTTATTTGAAACTGTCTAGAAGACTGACGACTACAGTAGGTCGGAGAGAGAAGAGAGGAGAGGAGAGAAGAAGAGAGACTGTGTATGGATGGGGGTAATGGTAGCTGCTGCAATGAAAGGTTTCTAGGTGCCACAGGGGGGTTGTCGGAGGTGCTATAAGCAGTGGGATGCATGGGTGGAGGGTTGGTGCTCCCTTCTATCCGTTTTCGACGTTGCCTTGGGTCTTTCACCAGTGCACAGGATAGCTTTGGAGCTGAGTTACAAAAGGAGTGGATCCCAACAGACACAAGCAGATAGACCTCAGAGGGTTTTACTTACCTTCCTATCGCCTCTGATACACATGTGTACATTCACACACACTGTAATAACTGAGCCCCCAGCCCCTATAACTGAGCCCCCAGCCCCTAACCCCTAGGACTAGTAAGAAATGCAACAAACCCCATATACTTGTAAAAAGAACTTCTCCTAAGCCTTTTAGCCTCAGCCCCCTCCAAGGGAGGAGAAGTTAAGATCTGGGAAGAAGCCCAAGAAGATAAGGGAAGGAAGGGAGGCAGGGGTGAGCCCTGGGTGGAAAGAGCTAAAGCTGGAAATTTACCAAATACCCCTCATTTGATGATTTGTAAGTTAATGTATCTAAAGTTAGCATGTACCCCCACCCTGAATTGTGTAACCCCTTATGATGTGCCCCATCTTATGGTGATGAAGTAATGTATATCTTGTGATGTATGAATCAATATGTACTTTCACCTTGCGACCCCTCTCTAACTGCTATGATTGGCTTCTGTATTGTGCTAGCTTGCTGACCCTTGAAAAATAATGGTATAAAAAGACACTTCACCCGCCAGTGGGTGCTGAATGCCTTTGTGGTGATCCAGCCTGCCTGAAGGCATTAATAAAGTTTATCAATTATTACATCAAAGTGGGGTCCACCTTTTTATCTCCATGGCTGTGACCCACTTTAACACAGTGAGCCAGATGATTACTACATAAACAGGTGGAGTTGGGGGGGTGGTTCTGAGGGACATGGTCACCTGATCAGAAGAGGATGGCAAATGAGAGTGGTCTTGCCCAAATTTTAACCCCATAGATTGTCTGTGTTAAAAATAATTTCCCCCATCCCACCTCACACATACATACATACCATTTCTCTGCAGCCTGTGCCCTTGCTGGTGAGTTTAAGGAGATGTGGGAAGCACTCCAAGGTTGGGGTTCTCTACTCTCTCTACATTACCGGCTTTTACCTGGGCCTAGGGATTATGAGCGCCCAAGGGAAAAATAAGAATTCTATTGCTGTAAAAGAAAAATAGTAAACTGAACAATCTATAGTAGATGAGCCAGACTTAATAGACCATTTAGGGGGAAAAAAAAAAATATATATATATACACACACACACAATTTGAAAAATCTATACCAAAAGTGATAAAGGAGGATACAGGAAGTATCAGGTAAAAACTTGTCATAAAACAAAACAAAAACTGAGTGTGAAAAATATGATGGTTAAAAGACAGTATTCAATAGCGGGATTAAATAGTAGAATGTGTAAAAATTAAGAGTGAATTCCAAAGTGAGAATATCAGATTAAGGAACTCTACTCATCAATAAGGTATCAGAAAGGGATAAAAAGTTGCCAAGGTGGCTCATGCCTATAATCCTTGCACTCGGGGAGGCTGGGGCAAGTGGATTGCCTGAGATCACAAGTTTGAGACCAGCCTGAGCCAGAGTGAGACCTCATCTCTAAAAAAATAGCTGGGCATTGTGGCAGAAGCCTGTAGTCCCAGCTACTTGGGAGGCTTAGACAAGAGAACCACTTGAGCACAAGAGTTTGAGGTTGCTGTGAGCTATGATGCCATGGCATTCTACTGAGGATGGCAAGTGAGACTCTGTCTCAAAAAAAAAAAAAAAGTTGAAAAATACAAAAGAAATCTTAAGCAATATGGAGACTGACTAGATTTTATTTAATGAGAGTCCTAAAAGGAAAGAAAAAATACACAGAGAGTAGGAAATATATCAGGAAATATATCAGGAAATAATATCAGGAAATATATCAGGAAATAATAATAATAATATTATGGAGAACTAAAGAAAAATTAAAGACCTTGTATTTGAAGTACTCAGAGAATCAAACAAAATATGTGAAAAGACACCACATATTATAATGAAGTATAACAACATAAATAACAAAAAATTCTAAAATCTTTCAGAGGGCAGTGCCTGTGGCTCAAAGAAGTACAGCGCCAGCCCCATATGCCAGAGGTGGTAGGTTCAGGCCCAA